ACGGTGATATGCTAATTCAATAAATAAATGTAAAATACCATATACGTTATTGAATTTTATGAATATATGAATGCGATAACCATTCTGATTGATGTTTAGCACAAATTTTATTCTAAGTGACAAGCTTTTACATGATTTAACATTAGTGAACTGTCAACGATAGATTTCACACAAAACTATTCGTTAAATGTATATTTTATCGGAATAAAACGAATTTTTAAACATATTTCACATTTATTGAAGATTTTGAATTCAAAAATTCAGATTTTTTTTAAATTTTTTGTTTCAAATAAATGAATATAGGGGTACTCTTAAGTAAGTCTTTTTTTAAGAAGCTTTGGCTAGATCTACCACCCGTTACTGCCATTTATCTAGAGACGCCCTGTATATTCACGCAAATAACTGATTTTTTTAAGGAAACAAGACTTGTTGCTCTGAAAAAGTTTAAATTTAAATTATTTCTGTCGCATATAACATTAAAAATGACAAGATTGACATTTTCGCTTAAAAAATCATATTTTAAATTTCTCTAGAGTGCCACGGCTGTGTCAAAAACACATTTTTTTAATCAAGGAGCTTTGGAAAAATAGATTAAATCGTCTAATGTTTTTCGTGTCTTATCCTGGCTGGTTAAAAGATGCCTAAATCGTATTTTTAATCATATCTCAATTTTTTCATACGGAATAAAGGTGGCTCATTGGCATATTTGGAAAAAGCATTTTATACGAATAAGTCGGTACCACACACTTGGTATTTCAAGTCAAATTGTCGTTATAAACCGCATGTTATAAAAATGTCAAAAGCTGACATATGATATGTCATTCTATTCATGGTGTCATTTTCTATCGAATAAAATAAAAAGTTCCGAGGGTATCATTTAAAAATCAAAAGTTGTAGTAATTTCTGGTGAAACAGGAACAAGTGACCAAAAACAGTTGAATACGCCAAACAATCCTAATTTATGTCGCACATACTAACATACCAAATCTCGTTTTTTTATCTGAAAAAATAAAAAAAAGTTATAGGGGTGAGCCAGTTTTGAAACGCACCCGGTAGATCATCTTGGTGAGAAATCTGTTGAATTATTTACACCGGGGTGTTGACGAAACTTTATTAGACGAATGGCACGAGAGTAATTTAATTATTTGATATTAATATGAAAAGCGACAACACGGTAGAGGAAATAGACATGTTCTATCTTAGTTTTTGATTGCGCTAAAAGCAAATTGAAAATAGATGAAATATTAAAAGGCCCGGATGTTTGAATAATTCAAAATTCTTGTTGCAAGCTTCAATTTATTGATTCTGTTAGCATATATACAACTGCACTAAAGTTATTATTTTGTATTTTTCTAGTCGAGTCGAAAATTGCGAAAATATCTATCTCCTTTGCTCTATTTTTCGGATCGCAAACTTTAAAAACGAAATATTATTTTTCTCTTTTAGCAAATTTTGCGCTTATTCTTCATTTAAAATTTAAAACTCCTCTAAGCGGTTTTAGAGATTTTTAGTGGCTAAAGTTTTTAACGCTTTCTTTCCACAGGTTCTCTTTTCTTCTAAAAGGAAAAAAAGAAAAAATTCTATTTCTCTTTTCAACACTATCATTTTCAAACACATTTCGAAAAAGCTAGCTACCATTATAGAATAAATCGATGGTAAAAACTTTTAAATCCAGACATTTCTGACGCTTAACAGCAAGGGAAAAGGTGTAATATTCCGATTAACCACGGAACCTTAATAATACCAAACCCTAAACACGTCAATACAATCCGCCATATACGTTAATATATCCAACCCTCAATTACCTTAAACACAACAATAACTAAAAGCCGATTCCAATTTTCTCGTTGCATTAAAAAAATCGCTCGAGAATATCAACTTTTTTCAGCCGTAATCATTCAATTTCCGTTAATTTTATATCGAAGATGGTCCTGTAATTTTCGCATGATAGAAAAAAAAATGTCATGTACGACGTAATGGGCCCAATATTATTTCCATTACGTTCCCATGACACGAAAATGCTTCAAAAATCAAACTACTTATAGAAAATACATTAAAAACCTTCTATAAATACAGAGCGATCAACAATGGGTGAAATAGTTGGTTATACTGTGTTTTAAGTTTTTAGGATTAGTAGCATATTAATGTTATTGCACATTCTTCAATGTAAAAAACATTATTTTTCAATACAACTATTATAGTGTCCAACATGGAAAAGGAATTTAAATATCCCCAAAAAATTAATCATATATATTTTGGTTTGTTTTGACACTAGTGATAACAGTTAATTTTTTAAATTTATTGCCAACCAAAGAAACTAAATCAGAATAGTCAACTCTTCAAGCATTTTTGATTGCTCCGTATATCCTATCTAATATATACATTTATACAGAGTATTTAAAAAAACATGTACCATGTTGGGGAGATTCATCACGTTAAGGCAAATTGATAAAATTGCATTTATTTCATCAAGGAGACCGACAAATACAAAATATCAAGAGACAACTTTTAATCAGTATTAAACGACCTAATCGATTTTGCTAACATTTTTGCTAACATATGCACTGGTGAATCTGTCGACACTTTTTTGGCATCAAAATATGTCGCACTTTTAGTACCTTTACCTTCAAAATTTCATTCAAATCGCTAAAAGCACTTTTACGTGGGGAATCTCTCAACGAGAAATGGCATGTTTTTTTAAAACACCCTGTATAAATATATAATAAACAAATAAATATATAATAAAAAAAACATAATAAACAAATATGGCCATTGTGAGGCTGCCATAAGAGGGTTGAGTTCGAAAGAGAACTCCAAAAAATACTTTTAAAAATAAGGTAAAATCTCTATTTCTTTATTAGATTACACTAATTTATAAATGATGATATTATGTTAAAGCAGTTGAAAAACTTTTTATACCAAGCCGTTCAAAATAGTTCAGCAGTGACAAAAAAGTAAAAAGTAAAGATTATTATACAAGTAGCGGCCTAACCAGTATTTAATATGTAAGGGTAATTGAAGCTCGGTATAGGTAATGATACAGCCGTACACTTCACTACACCCAACGTATACAAACAGTAATGACTTAAATAGTGTGTACATGAACTATTTAACAAGTTGTTACGGGAAGAAACTGAAAATGGGTACGTTAATTGGCAAAAAAACGTCGACTTAAACAAAGCGGCACCGAAACGACATGGCAAATATATTTTTAAAGTATAATCGAGCTGAAAAATATGCGAAATGCGTCCTAAATCGCATCATAAGTACATTTATTTCGCAAATAGCACGTATTTTAAAATAGAAATTATCGCACCGAGTAAATTATACATTATAAACGCACAAAATGTCATTTGCTGGTCCTTTTATGCGTGTGAATCATTTTTCATCTAATCGGTGGCAATATTCATATCTTTTAGGTAAACAAAACACTTGATAAATAATGTTTAATCTAGTGTACTGGATACCTCATTGTTCGTTTTATCTAACCTCATATTAGTAATTTCCGCTCAAGCATTTTCCTAGAATGAAATTTCATGAAATTTCTCCCCTTCAAAAAATTGTTACAGAGAAAATATAATATCACCAGCCTAAAAATGGGCTTAGGGTATATATACAGTAATTGAGAATATTCTTGATTACAGACACTGTTATACGAAAATAATAAAAAAATACTGACATAAATTTGATATCTTTCTTTATTAAATATACCATGAAAAACAAACCAATTAGATAGAAAATTCCTTAATATTATATTATATTCTATTACTGTATTACATTCTTTCTTAATTTTATTTGTGCTTTATTTGTTTTATATTTGGCTTATAGATACGTATAATAGATACAATAAAATACCACACATCGAAAAAAGGCGTTAAAGTAGCCTAAGAAATAATAATCTGAACTTTTTTTTTATTTATTTTTTAACTAATTTAGATTAGTTGAAAAAAAAATAGTCACCGATAGAAATTTCAAAGACCACTCTGACGTCGTTTTTTGCGATCATACAATACAGGGTGAGTCTTAAATAAACGCATTTTTAGAGGTGGTATATTTCGAACCCTGGAACACGTCTATGACGTTATTTTCGCTGAAATTTTTGATAATATGGCAACTAAGGTTTCCAATCATCGGGATCGGGATCCCGTTTTGAAATCTCGGGATTAGAACCTATAATCCCGAGAGTGGCTATCAGAATGAGGAGTTTAAAGAAATACTTAATAAATATGCAGTTATATAACAGATATAAAAAAATAAGAAAAGAGCTTTATTAAAATTGACAAAACAAAGGAACATTCATATTTAATAAGTAAAAAAAATACAATTCATGTTGAAAAAAAAAATTAAATATAGTAAACAGGGAAATATAACTTTTAAATTGACTTGAAATTGATTTTTTCTGGATCCCTGGATTTAATATCGGGATTTCCGCGATAAACATGAACACGGAGATCCCGGTTTAGGAACCCTAATGGCAACATAGTAGTAGATTAAATTTAGTGGAACAAAAACCCAGAAAAAAAAACAGAAAATTTGAAATTTTTTAAGCAAAAGTTATGTTAAATTTTCAAAATAAAATATTTCGGATATAATAGACTTTTTAAAAAAAGGTAGAGAGAATATGTTTCTTTTATCGAGATCTAACCAGCCCCGAAACATGTGCAATTTTTAAGACTCTCTTTTTTTTGTATATATTCTAATAATTTTTTTACTGTATATAATAAAAAAAAATATTTATATGGGGATAAAGTGTATCTAAATTATTCTATATGCCTTTAAAAAGTTGTTGAGAACATTGAATTTTTAATGCTAAGCTTTTTTATTGGGCTGTCAGTCAAACTGTCTACGAACTTTTTACCGAAAATAAAATATTGCCACGATCAAATTGAATTTGGGAAAAAAAATAAAACCGGAGTTGCTAGATGGTTGTTTGCGTCGATGTTCGATATTTATTTGAGGAAAACATGTCGATACATTAATGAAAGTTGCCTTGTACTTACCTAAAGCTTTTGCTGTCGTCTCTGATATAACAACAAAGGAAAAGAGTAAAAGTAACAAACCGTTCCTAAGTTTTCCATGCCAGGCCATGTCACCGTCACCCTGAAAAGATTACCGAAGAAAAACATTAGTTTTCGAGCCACCATCTTATTAATTTCTACATTATTCAAAACAAAAAATCGATACCTCCATACGAATACATTACACCAACTACATGTAAGTAAGTGTGCTTCAAAATTAACTTTTTTTTTATTAGACATAGCACAATGGACTTTACTTGGGCGAGACAGAAAAAAACACGGAAAACGTAACGCTTCAAATTTATTTTAATGGTTTTCTTAAATGCATACAGTAATTTTTATATACATATCTCGCTGTTTATGACCACACTACTCACAATATTTACGTCATATTCACCTGAGCCTTAAAAACAGCATTTACAGCTACAAGATAAAGAATGTGTCATTCGTATTCCAGCTATCAGCAATATGTCGTGAATGCATTTTTATCAGTGATTTAAATACGTCCACAAAAAGCTTTTTTATCCAAACTCTCTTTTTCCTTGAATTTATTTCCTTGAAAATTTAACCGGCAGGCGAAACTATGCTTAATTAACGTAATAAGTAAATATAGGTTCAAATTAAAGCGAAAAAAAGTAAATTTAAAGGCAGAATAAATTAATGATCGATACGTAGTGAACTTATAATCATGGAAAGCGATATGAAAAACTTATGAAATTATGACTACGTCAACGCTGAGTGGTTTTTATTAATTAATGTGCTATTTCCATTAGCGGCTAAAATTTCAGAGTAGATTTCGCCATAAAAAATAAATTTATTCAAAAAACATGCAAATACGCGACTTTATAGAACATTACAGTGATAAATCCAAAGATAAAGGAAGATGTTTACTTTAAATATTTGAGCATATTAGTGCCCCTATGCATTATTTACATAGATAGCGAAAATGCGTTAATTTTTTAAACATACACGCCAAACAATGAGGTACTGAAATAATAGGTGGAGAGATCTCTATAGAGACAAATCTTTCAGCCAAATTGTGGGCGACAGTTCAAACAACCAGAGCATTAATATTTTATGCGCTTTCAAGCTTAACTGCCTTCGCTCTTTTCAGGAAAATAATAAAATCTTTCGATAAAACGCTCAACTATATTAATAAGTTCATTCCGGCAAATCATACCCAAAACCACAAAGAGAAATAATAATGAGGTGAATGAAATCAAAAAGATATTTGAATAAAAAAAGTATAGACTGTTATGTTATATGTCTTATGATTTCTGTAGGTATAAGGGCTTCCGTTTTGATTAGTAGTGGGAACTATCGAATGAATACTATCGAAACATTCGATAGTTGCAATTCATTCGAATAATTCGATAGCTAGTAAGAAAACATTCGTTGAAAACTATTCGAATAAAAATTATCGAATAGATGCGTCATCTGCCTTGAAATAAAAGTTATAATTCGCAAACTTTTCCAATTTATGACAATATCTTCCCTCCACGTTATTTGATATTAGCGGAAAGGATCCCTCAAGGAAGCTATTAACCCCGAATGCAAAAAACTCCATAGTGCTGCTTTTAGTTGTTCTACCAGCAATTTACACAAATTTCTTTGCGTGCCTCCGCAGTATTAATCAAATTTTATAAAATGCCGCTTTTTTCATGTATTTTATTTGCTATTTCTGTTATATTTCTGTTATACACCATTCCCTTCGGCCTATATAAAACAGTACCTGCGTTCTAAATTCCGTCTAGGAAAGGCAGAAATAACAGCAGTTTACCTGGAGTTTCATAAAAGGCTTTTAGGGTAGGCCAGAGCGAGTACAGGGTCGCACATTAAAAGAGACCACCTTAAATTTAATAAGAATTTATACCTTAACTAATTTCAGGAATAATTTAATTTATATTTCATGTCCCGCCGCACAGTGCTTCGTCCCATGGACAAAAATCGAAAAAAAAGTTAAAATTTACTAATATCTCAATATGTAATTTTTTACTTATAGCAATGTTCAACCATCCTGTATATTATTTTTCACAAAAATACATTTTTTTTCACGTTTTTTGTTAGCAAATATTTTCACTAAAAATAAGTTTTGCGATCATTATCTTATATCAGTGAAAAGAATAACATTCATAGTAGTTCTGTATATGGAGTTAAACGGTACGTACTTAATTGAAAGCCACTATGGATATTGTTAAACAAGGTATGTACTTTAAATTTATTTCTGAACAAGTTCGTTATTGTTTAGTTTTTATTTATTTTTTAAGATGATTCTTAAATGGGTATAAAAATTTTACATTTTCAAACTTCAAAAAGGCATTAAAAAAAAACATATCAAAACATATCGTATTTATTGAATATTTTTGTTGCCATATTTATACACTTTTAATTTTTGTATAGTTCATCTGCGTCTGCTTGCGACGAACTTTATTTTATAATACTTTTCAGATGGAGTAAAATTGATAAGCAATGCCGATCTGGTTAATACTTGGCTTCATCATAAGGACAAGAACTCAAAATTATTTATATTTGAAAAAATGTGTTCTTTATTAGATATTGATGAACATTCCAGTCCAATGAGATAACCACTTGTGCCTGAGCCCACTATGTTGGAGCGAAACGTGGCATAAAAAATGTGTCCATCTTTCAATTTATTATAAAACCTCATACCCAAGAAAACGAAAAAATAATATATGGATATGGTCTATTAGAGAGGTAACTATTAACATCCGAACCCCTCATACCAACAAAAAGAACAGTAACAACGCGAAAAAGTAACATATTAGAAAATGATGTACAGAAATATCTTATATGTGAGGATATTTCATCTACCTGTGATTTGATATTATAAATTAGGAAGATTCTGTCAGCAGTGATTCTTCTGAATCAGAGTAGTAACGATCTATGCATTTTTCTGTCCTAAAGTAAATTTATAGTATCTTAAGTTTTTTTTAATTAAATATAACATTAATGTCTCTTTTTCATTAAAGAAAAATATTTTTATCTTATATTAGGCTTATATTGTAGGAATCATGTTCTAATGTTATTTCAATTTTTTTTTATCACAGAGATTTATTTAATACTTACACCGTTTTCATACTATAAATTATTATTTCCTTAGATGGAACACAGCTCCAACATTTTTATTATTTATAAGATTTTTTTTCATAAACGTGGGACTAAGAACATCATCATTTAGTACAATGAGAGTACTCATCATTTGTGTCAAATAAACCTAGTTTGAATAAATTGCCTACAATAAAAGGGAAGTTTTGCATTTTTGTCCTCTAGAGCCATATGTTCGAAGCACTGTGCGCCGTTCTAGTGAGTACGGGCATATTTCTGTCACAAATACAAATTGAATTTGATGACAATAAAATAATAAATAAGTCGCATCCCATATAATACACTTTCTAAGCAAAGTTTTGTTCGGTGTCGCTGAAAGTTGGGCCCGTGCAAGTCTCATATTTCTTGAACAATTTGCTTGTTTGCTACAATAGAATTCTGAAATGGCGAATTTATCTCTAAATTACGCCGTAAGAAAATGCTGGAATAAATAAATTGTTTAACAAGTTAAAACTAAGCAAAATTTATTCGTTTCCTTAGAAATGCCAATAAAAAGGTCCCGAATTCAATTTGAATTTTTGAATGAGCTTCCGGAAATTGAATCGTACATAATGTCTTCATTTCGTGATATACAATCCAATAAGAGACCGTTATAAAAAAGTTAATGGTCTGGAGATCTCTAATTATATATTAAGCTGTGATATTTGAACCATGATGAAATATAATAATAGCCAAACAAAGGAACATTACAATGAGTTTCTGGTAGAACTTTTTTTTTTGGAAATAGGTGATTATAATTATAATAATAAATAACTACTGTACTTCATATTCGATATTATTATGTAAAACTATAATATTTTCTTCAGTGAAGTAATTACTAAATTTTGATGAAGACTTTTTAATTATAGAGAAGGCTTTTTGGTTAGGAAGATTAAATCAAATGATAAGGATAACAAAAGGAAATTACATTTAAAGTGTAATGATTTTAGTGTGTTAGTTTTGTTGTTAATTAATTTCTAAGGCAAAGAAAACAAAGTCCTCCTACACTGGGTGCCTGCTCACCAAGGGATAGCAGGCAATGAAAAAGCAAATAATCTAGCTAGGAAAGGAGCGAACACTCCACTAACTGGACCAGAACCGTTCTGCTTTCCAAGTGGTAACCAACTCAAGGCGGAACTCAAGAACTTGGAAGATTCCATCCGCAACCTGGAATGGAAATCTTGCAATGGTCTAAGACACTCGAAGAAGTTTCTGAGGGCTTATGATCAAGAAAAATCACAGATCTTCCTGGGTCCGAGTAAGAACAATCTTCGGATTGTCACGAGGTTTTTAACAGGACACTGTCTCCTCAATGAACACCTCAGTAGATTGAAACTAAGAAGAAACGGCGAATGCAGATTCTGTGGGGAAGATGGTGAAACACCAGTACACCTCATCACTGAGTGCGCCGAGACGACAACCAATAAAAAGTAATAACAACTTAGTAAGAATTTAATTATAAAAAAAATAAAGAATAACATTCCCAACAAGTGGTGATACGAGTCAAATAGAGAACTACAACATTTGGTGGCAGCGACTACAAGATTGGTGACGACGGTGGTCCAATCCAGGATCACGACAGGGGGACACAATGGATCTGTAAGGTCGAAGTGATTAACCCCCCTCCCACTCATTCTAAAAACCATTTCCCAAGTACCTTAAAAAAAGCTACGTAAGATTTATTAGTTTCTGAACCCTCGAAAAAAAAACGGTGTCGTTTAGATGTTACAAACGACAATAAGTCGAGTTTAATACGTTTTTTTTGTCTGTCAGTAGTAGCTATCGGAGTGAAACAAGTATTATAATGACGCAAAACAAGAGAAAAACCTTTTTTAAGGTAAAAAACGAGGAGATGTGAAACGTATGCAGAAGAATGCGACGGTCGTCGGCAACAATTTCAATGCGAGCCGTCAATAAAATGGGATTTTTTAAGATCATTTAATAAGCAATGCGACAGTCAAAGATGGCAAGACAGATCCACAGTCTTTATTCAAAAAATACGATCGCATTTAACATTTAAATCGAGAAGGCTGTGCCGGCAACCGGTCTTGCGTTTTGTGCATACTGCCACGTATAAATCTTCTCTATAGGGTGGTCTGGCTCATTCGCCTTGCTCATACCATCTCTAGTCGCAATCAACAGAAAAAAATACACCAGAATCAGTTAATAACTGATCGGGATTTTTTTACAATTAAAACAAATTTCTTAGTGGCTAGGGCTATGAATAATAATGGTTAAAGAATTTTATTCAAACTCATATTAAACATTATTTTCTCCTAATTATATTTGTTAATATACTAACTATAATATAACTATCTATTTATTATAAAACCTGTTCATTTTAGTTCATTTAATTATAAAATTAAATTATTCAGCTCCGGTTCTACAGACATAGCTTAAACTTGAGTTCAAGTGAACTCTGCAAAATGTTGAACTCTATTTAGACATAATTTTCTTGTAGTATGAGATTATAAGATGATTAAAAGCCAAATTCAAGCCTCAAAAATGAAAAATTTCTGAACTAAGTTCCAAGATATGAAACCCTTGAACAACTACCGTTTCTCTAAATACCTATTTTTATACTTAAAATGTTTTTTTTTAATTCTTTAAGCCTTCAATCACTTGTAAAATTATATTGGTAAATTCTTTATTTTATTTGAGACACTGTAAAGAAAAATAATTATCTAACAGAGAAGACTTTAAAATACCAAAAGAATTAATACAATAATTAATGTTGAAATAATAAGAAAATAAAGAGTCAACATGGTAAGGTGTTGCTTTATTCGAGAGCGGAGGAAAAAACGACCACTCTGTAGAAAAGAAGAGTGAGCGACTGAAAAAAAGGAACAATCGGAAAAAAAAGACTTACTCTTATTAACATAATAGTAATCCATCGCAGGACGGTGATAGACGTTCACTTTTCACAACACAATAAAACAAAAAGAGATAGAGGTATCGATAAGGGACCATCGTCAGGGAAAAAATCAAGAGAGAAGAAGAGGCAATAGGAAAACTTTAAATATCGGAAAATATCGGGTCTCGCTGCTGCGTCGGGAGGCAGGCAACCGGCAAACCCAGCGTCGCACAAAGGACTAGTCTTCCACTTCACGTGGATGGATATTGGTAGACTGTGCGCTGTACGGCGCTGGCTGATTCAGGTCAGGACTGGCGAAACTTTTTGGGCTTATTCCTTATCTGGCTCACGTAGAAGGAATTCCGAATCTTGTCGAGAATATACTTCCAAGATTGGTACTATTCTTTGCTCAACGTTTTTATCGGCGAAAGAAACAAAAAGCTCCCAGCTTTCGATCTTCTTCAAATTCTCAAATCTTTTCTATAATTTCTTTTCCGCACGACATCCAGTGCTTTCCTAAAACCGTTGCCATCGTGAAATAAAGGACTGATGGTTTACGAGTGCCGTCACAATAGTAGGCAATGAGGTTATAGATTGGTACTGTTATTTGCTTAACGTTATTATAGGTGAATGAAACAAAAAGTTCCCAGCTTTCGATCGTCTTCAAATTCTCAAATCTTTCCTATAATTTTTTTTCCGCGCTATATCCAGAGTTTTCCTAAAACCGTTGCCATCGTGAAATAAAGGACTGATGGTTTACGAGTGTCGTCACAATATTAGGCAATGAGGTCATAGATTGGTCCTGTTCTTTACTTAACGTTATTATCGGAAAAAAGAAACAAAAAGTTTCCAGCTTTCAGTCTTCTTCAAATTCTGAAATCTTCTTTATAATTTTTTTCTGCACGATATCCAGAGCTTTCATAAAACCGTTGCCATCGTGAAATGAAGGACTGGTAGTTTACGAGTGCCGTCACAATAGTAGGCAATGAGGTTATAGATTGGTACTGTTATTTGCTTAACGTTATTATAGGTGAATGAAACAAAAAGTTCCCAGCTTTCGATCTTCTTTTCCGCACGACATCCAGTGCTTTCCTAAAACCATTGCCATCGTGAAATGAAGGACTGGTAGTTTACGAGTGTCGTCACAATAGTAGGCAATGAGGTCACAGATTGGCACTGTTCTTTGGTTAACGTTAGTATAGGTGAATGAAACAAAAAGCTCGCTGCTTTCGATCTTCTTCAAATTCTTAAGCCTTTTCTACAATTTCTGTTCTGTCTCTATAATTTCTCAGTGCTTTGCTAAAACCGTTGCTATCGTGAAATGAAGGACTGATGACTTACGCGTGATGTCACGATAGAAGACAATATGTTAAATAATATTATCATGAAATTTAATAAATAGATGATAGAGCGATATATTATCTTAAAATAGCTACGAATATTGTAAAAAAAGTTATGCTGTAACCGTATCTATGTATTTCTATCATTTTCTAAAAAAAATTCTATTTTTTCTAAAAAAATGACTAGTCATTAATAAGACCAAAATCAGATGGTTCAAACTTGCCTTCATCTTGAACAGCACTCGTCCACAATACTCTCTCTCTCTCTCTACTCCTACTAATTAGTAAATAACAGTAATTACAACAAAATCGGTGACTATCTCTTAGTCAAAATATAAAATAGAAACAAATTCAATAATTTATTTTGGAAAAAAAGCCTAAATCATTTTGTGAAAACAATTTGTTCTTTTAAATAACTCAGGAAGATACAAAAGTTCGATTTGTAGAGAGAAATAATTATTGTTTAATTACAAAACGGTACAACACGAAATAATTACAACACAAAATCTCTTTATAAAACTTGTATTAAAATTCCATTCCAAAAAGTTATTAAAATTTAGAATTTATAACTAAATTCCGTACCGTTTTTACTAAATTAGTTTTGGGTATTAATCCCAAACAACAAACTAAGTAGTATTTTTCCTATATAATACAGATTTAATGGGGCCCACAATGTGATACCGAGTATCATTATTCTCATGAATATATCTAACAATATTTTAAAATAAATTAAAAATGAGAAAGAATACTTAAGCTAGATAGATCCAGAACTGTCACTTAGTACATATAACGTCTAAATATATTCGTTGGCCTATCCCATGTAAAAAAGACTGTTAATATTTAATGCTGGAGGGACTTGAAAAACAATTCAAACATAACTTTATTATTAATGACATAAGAAAAGAAAATATACGGCGTAAAAATGTACGTCTTCATTAAGTGGAATCATAAATTTTTAAATATTAAATCTAATACAATTAGAAAAAAACGTCAATACAAGAAACAAGAAAAAAGTTATTATTAAGAAAGTTTTGCTGGAGTGTATTAAATTTTTTTCTCTCCCCAACAAAAAGGGCACTGGAAATTCTAACTACATCCTTGCCACACATTTCTAACGAAATGAATTCTGCTTTATGCAGCATTTTATAATAAGGTACTTAATATATAACGAACTCGTTACAACTTTGTTACAAAGCGTTAGTTTTTAAAACGCTACTAGCTTCGAAAAAGGATCTTTTACATAAAAATTCGGATTTTGGGTCGCTGTTAGACTTTCAAATTAACACACAGTATGCTCTAATTGGAAGTTAAGATCTCAAAAAGCAAAAATATCATTCTGTAAATGTTCCTTTCTAAAAAAGGTATGTATGCGTACGATTTGGAGTGAGTAACAAAGCTTATCTCATTTCTACCTTGATATTATCGTAAAACCAAATGCAATATTTACTTAAAACTATAAAACATTCGACGTATTGTGGCTAAATGTATTGTTTATTCGTTTAACAATCGCGTATAAGGAAATTGTTGTAGTTCTTTATTGACCAAAATCATTTCGAGGTTTCAACAAATCTATTACAGAAATAAAACTTAAACGGTCTAGTAACCATTGAGGAAAAGGCACTATTTCTGAACAATGTACTGTAACAGGTATCTTGGAAATAAAAATGACAAATACGACAATGACAGCTACCTTAATTAATGTAGAGTTGTTTAAACAAATGGGCTAGAAAACGTTAGGAATTTTCAGGTAGTAATTAATTTCAAACAAACTTATTTCACAAGAATGTTCAGGTTATGTAACAATTAACAGATTAATTAGAAAAAATATGGTAAACTGTTGATATATTGACTAATAATTCCACTCTCCCAAAGGTTTTGTTTGCATTTAAAAGTGCTATTGCAACATAAAAGTATTACATATTTTACATTCATCTTTTATAAAGAAAATAGCGGATGCTTTTAAAATCTATTATTGTCAGTAAAAACAGCTAAATTTTTTATATTACATTTCCTTATAACCGCACATTCGTCAAAATAAGTGATCTCAAATTTTCATGAGTTTTTGAACAATTAAGTAATCTTATTCCCAAAATTATGTAATTTTGACGTTTTCTAGAAAAGTCCATTATATTACCTAATCGAAATAAATGAAAATCAACAATCTTGAGACTCTCTACTACTTGTAGAATTGTTTGCATATGAGAATATAATGTTAAAAGGGAGACCCGAAACAGAGATAACAATACAGGCTGTGTCGCATCGATGGCAAAGGATTGATTTAGATGAAACCGACAAGGAGACAATGTTTAAACGTCCCAAAACAGTATAAATGGAGGACAGGAATTTTAATAATTACCAAATGTCAAAACGGACCACATGGCACGATGTGGAGGAACGGCATACCCATGGGCTTGGCATTCCTTCCTTCCTCAGATCACGAGTTGGTAATTTGCCCAATGTCCCGCACAACGTTGCCACGCAAACCCATTTTTAATCGAATCCAACGATTTCTTCATGCAGAAAAAAAATTAAACAAAACATACCTGAATAACGAAATTTTAGAGACAGCGTTTTGTTAAAAACAACGACAAGTATTTGTTCAATATTATCTTATTTAATTTATTATTTCATATCAGTCAATGCACTACACTACTGACATAGATTAGAGGACAAAATCAATGCGGTAGATGCAAGATAACATAATTACATTAATTAAAACCAAAAGAAATTCAGTTAATGCATTTATTAACGACATAAACAAAGTGCAATGAATTAATTGCATTATGATATCTAATCTGTATTTTGCTGGTGTTTGACATCGTAATTACCAAGCAAAAAATTCAACTTTTTTCGGATGGGACACCCGGTATATTATATAATTAAAATTCGAAAAAATTCTAAAATGGTGGAAGAGAGTTCAGCTGAGATCAAGATTAGGTGAATGAGAACGTAGCCTAGGCTAGAGGCGCGCTCACAAGATCATTATACTGTCACTATATTGATTCTAGTATACCTTACAACTATTCCGCTTATTCAATAATCTATTTTATGGAACTACACGATGCAGAAGAAATCTGGAAGTGCGCAGAGTTAAAATTAATGAGTTAATTATTTTATTTTTGAGTCATGACTTGAATAAAATTAGACTCAATAAGTTGCTACAAAAAATAGGAAGAGAATATAAAGGTTTCCGAAATAAAACTCGTATTTGGCTGGACATTAATTATTATTTATTCCATTAAGTATGGAAATGGTTTATTATTAGCGACGTTACGCATAAAAATCAATTAGCGCAGAAATCGAGTTAAAACATTTGAAAACTATTCGATTAAATCGAAATTTTATTAAACGGGAAATATCCACTTTCATATTCGTTTTATCGGATTTTAATTTCCTAATATTACTAGAAATTCATCGAATTACTAGGAAATAATGTTTTAATTAATGTTTTTGAACCGTAACGCTATTGACAAAATAATTTCAGTGTATGTCCTGAAAGGTCATCGAGTCAGTTCGTCATACGAATCTAAAATATTGGCAGTTTGGATAACGATTAAAAAGCACTGAGTTGGAATGAGTTGTGCCGTAATAATCGGCAACGTTGCAACGCACACAATTCTACGTCTGTCTCCAGGTGGATTCTTGTTCTTTTGTATTAAGCCCTATATATCGGATAAGAGATTCTCTTTTTTTCGGGGCTTTTTTTTATTCAAAATATAGCTCGCAGATTTTGATTCCTTTTTTTATTCGCACTCGCTCGATTCATTATTGGGAGGGTGGTTTTTAATCAATTTTATCAATACAATGGTCTGAGTTCTCATAATTTGTTATTAAATATATACGTAATATTTTTTTAAGGAAGACATTGAGGATATTACCTTTTTTG